GCACTGTATTTGAAAATGCTGTATCTTATACAATATTTATGATAAATGAATGGAATTAATTTGTTTTTATCGGCAAAGAACACAGTGTCACATATTATAACATAAGACTTGAAAATATGTAGAAAAAAGTTATAAATTATTTTTAAATTTGTCTTGTACTTTTGATGCGTACTGTAAAAATAGTTTCCCACTTCTTCACATAGTAGTTCTGCATTATAAAACCATTCCTGCTTGTAACACTTGAAATATTTTTGCATTTGTCAGAGCCATAAAAGAGTTAGAAGCAATAAAGTCATTTGGTTCTCTGCTGGCAAGTTTCACATCTTTGTTTTACTCTTCAGATATTCCAGTGTTTTGACTCAAGGACAGAATAATGAAAACATGTCCTTTCAAGAAAGGCTAGAGGAAATATTCATGGTTCCCTACTTCAGTGACAAGCCATGCCATTGCAGCTGCTAGAGAATTTTGCCCTTTCTATGGTTGCAACCCAATGCTTGCATCAGAATTGAGATACATAGTGCATTCAGTTTTCTGTGAGTTCATAGTGATTTTGAATACTGCAGTTTCATTTTATCATACAATGGCAGTGAAAAATTGTTTGGAAGATGATGAAATTCAAAGGCAGTTGAAATGCAAGATATATGACATGGGACTGTGCTTTCTCAGGTGCTTCAAGAAGTATCACATAAAGGCAAGATTCAGTTACATGACGCAGGGGTTGAAGCCTGTATGTACGTCAAGCACAAAACAACAAAAAATGTACGTGTATTCAGTGCACTTCAGACATTAAAGGTTAAATGACTAAATAAGTCCCAGTCGACAGATGTTCAGAAACCCTTTTTTTAACACTATGTATAATTGATTAAATAAATGTTAACTATCATCATCCAAACAGCCCCTTTTGATCCACAGAGTTCCTTAGAAGATTCTGCAAGATTTGCCTATTCCTGGCCATGTGTCATGAACTAGACCCTTTGGTTTTCACTTCTTTGGATTTTGCAACAATAATTTTTTATGGAGCAAGGCTATCAGCCTTGCGTCCAACCCCCAGCCTGGAGGACAAGGTTTCAGTACTTATGTACCCCAGTGACAAAGTGGCCCAATCACAGCCCCCAGGCCCCAGGTTGCCATTTTGTCACCTTCTACCACTCAGAGGGTTATGGTGGAGGTATTCTAATACACACCTCCACACGAAGTAATTTTCTTATATACCGTACTTACGCATGTATAGGCTGCACATTTTTTGCCAAAAATTCAAGAGGAAAATATTCGAAATATTCGAAATCACACTTCATTTAAAAAAAATTATATTCATAATTAGTAATACAGGGTGTTCAAAGATCGAGGAAACCGGGGCAGCAGTGTAGAGCAGATGGAACGTTTCTCCGTGACTACTGTGCCCCTCCCCGCTAGCAAGAGTGCAGTCGTGTCGCTGATACCCTTACATCAGTTTCTGTACATGCACACATTTATAAGAATACTGTAAAAAGATAACACAAACTTACCATGCTTTATAACAGGTGCTGAAAGTGACCCCCTTCTGCTTGCAAACATGCTTCGCATCGCATGAATAAATTATGCGACACTTTCTGAAGTTGGTCCACGGTAATTGAACCATATTACTGTTGATCACTTGACTCATTACTGACAATGTCACTCTCGCTCGAAGTTTCGCTGTCAGGTGATGTCAGCCATACAGCATCATCTTCAGTCCCGTCCATTACATTGGAAATGGATGTGACTTTAAAACTTTTGGAAACCATTTCTTCTCATATGGTGTTCCATGCAGCCACAATCCACTCACACATTTGACTTAATGAAGGTTTCTTCAATCGTCCAGTCGGCGTCATCTCCGTGGAACCGCATCTCCAGTCCCGGTAAAAGCGCCGCAAATGAGACTTGAAAGGACGGTTTATTGACACGTCAAGTGGTTGTAACATGCCAGTCATCCCCCATGGTATCACAACCATATCACTTTTCTCCTGCCTCATCTTCACTTTCACATTTTCAGTTAAATGACTTCGAAAACTGTCAACCACTAACATTGACTGCTGACGTAAAAGTGCGTCTGGGCGCCGAAACCACACTGATTTCAACCAATCCAGATAGAGCTCTTCTGTCATCCATCCTTTTTCTTGAACTCTCACCAAAATTCCCGGTGGAAGCTTTTCTTTCGGCAATGTTTTGCGTTTGAAGATTACAAATGGTGGTAGTTTGTTTCCATCAGCAGTGATACCAAGCATTACGGTACACCGAAGCTTTTCTGCTCCTGCAGTCCGCACATGCACTGTTTTTTCGCCTGCTTTGTTCACTGTACTTTCACCCGGCATTTCAAAGAACACAGGAGTTTCATCAACATTTCCAATAGCTCCCATGGTGTAGTTGTGCGTCTTTCTTAATTTCAGGACATGTTTTTGAAATGCAAGCAGTTTCTCCTGGTATGTGTCGGGAAGGCGCTGCGCTATTGACGTCCGTTGCCGAATTACAAGATCATGTCGGGCCATAAAGCGCCTTGCCCATCCATAACTTCCCTTAAATTCATTACGAGGAATTTTCATTCTGTCCGCTATTTTGAGGCCTTCAAATTGAATCATTTCCACAGACACTGAAAATCCATCCGCCCGTGTATTACGCACGTATCGCAAAAGTTTATTTTCAAGTTCTGGAAATTTAGCTTTCTTTCCGCGGAAAGATTGTCGATTTTGTGACGTTTTTTCAAGGGCATCTTTCGTTAGTATCCATCTTCGCACATTTTTTTCGTCAACGTCGAATTTTCTCCCTGCTGCTCGATTTCCGTGTTCTTGTGCATAACGCACCACTTGAAGTTTAAATTTAGACGTATAACCTGCTCTTACTCGACCCATGTTTCACTCAGAACTAACCAGGCAAGTCAAGTAAAGGCGAAAAGGTTATAACTCTCCCCCGCAATGCCTTTGTTCCGAGCGGTACCGTTATTTTCGCTAGTTGCGAACTTAGGAATGTTAAACGTTGCCAAATTTCGGAATAATTTCTACTCCTGAAATAATATTCCAAGAAAATTATTTTTTCTATAATTTCTGTCTGAAAATTGTGCTGCGGCCTATACACACACGCAGCCTATACATGCGTAAATACGGTATGTACTTGTAAGACTCTTTCTACATAAATGTGCAGTTACATAATGAATAACCTCAAATTAAGTTTCCAAGAAAAATAACAACATATGAAGTAAACAGGATGGTTTTGCAGGAATTACTGCCAACAGAAAGAGTATGCCAGTACTGACTGCCATTCTGAACTCATTCATAATAAACTCAGGCATGAGTTATGGAAAGTTAAACATTCCTGATATTAAGTGCATATTATTTACTAGAATAAAATTTACTAAATGCAGGAAAATAATATATCTGACTTGGACCAGAGAAAATATTCACTAAATATGAATGAGACATACAATTAACAATGGCCAACACAGAGTTTGTATAATTACTGATAACTTCTATTAGAAGAAAGGCTACAAGGTCTGGATACATGAATTCATTGTAACTGTAGTAGTGTCATGGTGCAGACAGGCCAGCAACTAATTCACCACAACATGTCTGATACAGACAGATGATTTAAATAGTTCACCAACCGCCATGACCTGAGAATTAATTCTTGTTAATGTGACCCTTGTTAACATGAAAAAGGAACTAAGCATAACCAGTTTTTAAAAATATTGTATTTTAGCATCATACCATGTACAAAATACTTCATTCAGTTTCAGTCTCACAATATATGTTTAATTCTAAGATAAATACAGGCTTTCTACACTATGGCATGTTTTGGGCACTCCTTCTGGCCAACATCAGGCAGTACTCATGCGGTCCCTCTCAACTTTCTCCACTATCCAGCTTCCACTGGCCAGTGTTTACAATGCAGGTCTTAGTTATAGACTTAACCAATTACTGTAAATTATGTAAACTCTGCCTTAATTTCCTGAAGGGTATCTATTATTCACAATACAAGCATATTTCAATTTTGCATAAGCCTTAAAAATTGTTTTTATATTGCTACTTTGGTTTCAATTAAAATGAAAAAGAGACAGGATAACTTGAACCAGTTAAAATTACACCTATTGGCCTAATTTTAGCTAGTTCAAGTTACTTCAATTTTGTATCAGCCTTAAAATTGTTTTTATATAGCTACTTTGGTTTCAATTAAATTAAAATAGATAGGATAACTTTAACTAGCTAAAATAAATTTGATTTGTTTCATTCTGGTCCATCACACTAACAATATTATAAAAAGATACAACAGTTCCATCCAGTGTGACTGGTGAAGATTTTTCTTATTTAAATTCTTCATGGCCTTACATGTTTCGGTCCTTAGAGACCATCACAACAGGAACATCGATACAGTTTGGAAACCACTATTACAATAGGTGTTCTGAGTGTTAAAATACATATACATACAATGCTGACAACACACAAATGGATACAAAATCCAAAGTTTCCACAACTACAGCGGCTTTCTTGATACATATATTTTTTTTTTAATTTTTCAGTTAAGTTATAATTATCAATGTCCTCCTGATGATGGTCTCTAAGGACCAAAACATGTAAGGGCATGAAGAACTGAAATAAGAAACATCTTCACCAGTCACACTGGACAGAACTGATTTATCTTTTTATAGCTAAAATAAGACCAAGAGTGGCCTAATTTTAATTACACTTATATTGTAAATAATGGATACCCTTTGGGAAATCAGGACAAAGTTCATATAATTTACAGTATTTGTTTAAGCCTAATAACTAAAGACCTGCATTGTACACAACACTACAAACTTCCCCAATTGTAAATAGTGGCCAATGGAGAGGGGACAGCAGAGAGAGATGAGAGGGACTTTATAAGTACTGCCTGATGATAGCCAGAAATAGTAGCCAAAACATGTTGTAGTGTAGAAACTGTGTAATTATCTTAGAATGAAACATAAATTGTGAGACTGAAACTGGGGCACTTCTGAGAAAATTCAAACATACCTTTTCTGCATACTCCATCAGTGGAGTAATAGAAACAACACTGGGGATCAATATGAGCAGGCTTGCCACCACAGCATGCAGGTTATACTTCTGAGCAGCACTCAGTGATCCATTTGTAAGTGCAGTGTCCTGAAAGCATCCAATTCATCAATAACAAAATTTCTTTACTAATTAAAAAGTTGACATTTTTCATGAGGTGAACCTAACAATAGAAGAATAAAATGAAGAAGGTATCTATGACAATAAGTCTGAACAACATAATATTCAGCTTCATCTAACATTAACATCTATGTATATCACAGTCCGTCAACAATGCAACAATTGTTCCATTTGTATTTATTCTTCCAATTTCATCATTTAACACTTAACACAACATGTTTTGGCCACAGATGGCCATCTTCAGGTGTCCCAATGTATCAAAACTGCTACACTGCTCTAATGTGCGCTAAAGCCACACACTGCAGTCCACTCATAAGGGGCATCGTCCACTTGTTTACAGCCGTGTAATTTATTCCAGATATTTTATTTCAGCAGCTTGTTTTTATGTTTCGCTAGCCTGTTGTTTTGCTATGTCTGCAGTCTGCAATATGCCCCTTGCTTGTGTGTTGTTCCCTCTAGCAGTGTGTGGTGTTGTTGCATTACAGATGGACTGCGATATACATAGATTTTAATTAAAGACTTGCAACAGAATGCTGAAATACAGAATTCACCAAACATCATTTAATTATGTACCATTAATCTGAATTTAGAAGATAAAGCTACTCATGAAAGACATTTATACGAGGGTTGGAGCTTTAATAGTGGCAACACTGCTGTAGAGACACCATGCAATGGAACCAAATAATGCCACTTATACCACACATTAGATACATACCTACCTTACCTCAGAGAAAATTGACTCTCCCTTCCCACATCACGTGCATGTGCAGTGACGAGAAGAACAGAGCCTCATGTTAGCTGGCGGTCTAATGTAGTGTTGTCACGATGGTTTCGAAACAGGAACAACGAAGTTGGATAAAGATTGAATGTGCCAGAGGCTGTACAAAATGACAGTGTCATGAACGTCTTCAAGAGGTTTGCGGGGAATCTGCATTGCCTTACAAAACAGTGGCAACGTGGGTAAAAGCCTTCAACGAGGGACACCAAATTGTGGCAGACACGCGTCAGCCAGGTCATCCTAGTGTCAGTGAAGAAGTGTATGCTCTTTCTGTGTTACTGGAGAGTGACCGATGCCATACAATTCGTGAGCTGGCCCGAGAGACACGATTAGCATATACGACTGTGCTTCACATTCTGAAGGAACGCCTGGGCATGAGAAAAATTGCATCACGATGGGTTCCGCATGATTTAACAGAAATGCAGAAAGGGCTACGATACAACACTGCTCCTAACCACTTGGAGCGCTATGAGCATGAAGGAGAGGCTTTCTTATGCCGTATCATTATGCTGGATGAGACATGGGCAAAATCGTACGAGCCGCAAATGAAATGCTAATCGTACGAATGGTGTCATTACACGTCACCACGAAAATCAAAAGTTTGTCAGAACCCCAGCAATGTGAAAGTTATGGTGATTCTCGTGTATGACTGTGATGGTGTTATCCTAATGCATACCGTTCCCCAACAGCAGACCGTCAGTGCGCAGTATTACTTTTCATTTTTGGAACACATCCTGCAACCAGCTTTGAGAAAGAAGCGGTGACACTTTCTGCAGAACCTACCCATCATTTTGCAGGACAATGCTTGGCTGTATGCAGTGCAAGCTGTGGCTGATTTGTTCGATTCATGGGGCTGGGAAGTGCTGTACCATCCACCATACTCCCCAGACTTAAGCCCTTGTGAGTTGGACTTGATTCCTAAGATGAAGGAACCACTTCGTGGCATTCGCTTCAGAACTGTTCCAGAGATTCTTCAGGCAGGAGATCACTCCATTCGAACTATCAACACAACAGGCGCTGCTAAAGGTATCCTACGACTTGCACACCGCTGGCAACGGGTTGTACACAGTGCTGGTGACTACATTGAAGGACAGTAAAACTTTGAAACACGCATCTATTCTGTATCAGTTGTAAATAAGTACTTGCCACTATTAGAGTTCCAACCCTCGTCTATGGATGAATGAATCAGTATATTTCTTGGTTTAAAATGATACATTAAGGGCACAGCATAAAAAGAAATGAAATTACACAATTATGAATGGTGAGTGGTGTGACTGATCTCCCCTCATTGTTAATTAATGTAAGTGTGAAACAGCATAAGATTTTGCCTGGTTCCCAGGTAGACAGCAGACTGAAATAAGATGGTCATTCTCTGTAAGCAACCATTTTTGATGAACAACGTAGAGAGAAAGAGACCCTCATGTACAGTCAAAGCCTGCCACCTAGTTGGAAAAGTTTCACATTTTCTTGCCTTTTGAACTGGGAGTAGGGGTACAGTTTAAAATCTTCACATGTTGACCAAATATTCTATTGTGAGACCTAATTATAATGTGTTTTCATAGATGCAAAGTTATTTAATGGGAAACCACATATAATAAATACCTAAATTACCTATAATAAATTATATTAATTTGAAGTTTTGAAATTTTTGTGAGAGGTCCTGGGCAGTGACTGCTTAGCACTGAGTCTAGAAGGAACTAAAAGTGAGTATACAAAAGCAGGTTGGGTGGTGGAGTTGAGAAGTCTGGGCTATACAATCTGATGGCAGTGAGCTTTACTTCATCATGAGCGGAGTTGACTGTGTATTGATTCAAGGAGTTAATAAACCTGTAGCTGCAAATTCCATGTGTCAAAGTGCTGGAAATTCTGCTATTTTAATGGGAATAACTTACTCTGAATCAACTTAATTCTTGTTCTCTTTCTTTCACCTACTTGTGTTACCTTATTGCCACCACAAATCATGACCTCTCCCTCAAGCCAAATCAACACAAAAACCTGGGATACAGAACCTTATATCTCTGTGAGTTATATTTGGCAATGTAGTCACTGAACCCTAACACCATAGTGTGTACGTACATACATTCCTGAAGAAGGAATCCTGTTAAGCTGATTATGCCAAGAGGAAGTTGGAAGTGGGCAGAGGAGGAGGAGGAGGAGGGGGAGAAGGACAGTGAGTACAGCAGGCTGAAAGGAATGTGGGGGAAAGGAGAAACAGACTATTCTAAAACAGCATCCCAACACATACCTCACCAGGACCAGAGGGTCCAACACATTATGGATCATTCCACATCAGACACTGCACAGAAGCAAATATTTCATGATGACTTCTGATTACATTAAACTTTTCAGTATTAACATATTTTATATAACATTATGGACTACTCCATACTGATTGAAATATTTAGGAGTAAAGGTTTAAAATATAATGTGTCGAGTTGGCTGGGTCTGGTTAGTTAAGTACTAACAGATTTTACACAACATAATGTGTAATTCCATGTCAACTCTACACAGTTTCAGTGCAAGAATATCATGGCCATCATTCTAAAAAAAATGGCAATTTTGTTGAAATTTTATCTTCCCAGACTAATTAGTTTCAGAGATGAATAATAATTCTATTGAAATTTTATCTGCCATTATTATTTTCAGACGAATAACAATTTTATGTTAGCACATACACTTCTCACTGTCCCTGTGCAACTCCATCAATGTATTAAAATTCACACTTCAAAAGTATTTGTCTTTTCTTGTTATTCGAACACTACATGTTTTGGACCAACTGGTCATCATCAGGTGTACAAATTGTACAGGATACTGCTGTCCCATTGTCATGCTGCTACACTTTGCATTTTAAAAATTTAAATTTCTTATAAGTATTTTAAAATTATTTTTAAAATGTTTTTCGAATAAAGGCCACATGAAAAATCAATACACAAACAAAATATACACCAGACCCACAAGAAGTGTGTACAAGGAAATAATTATATGATATGATATTTCAAAAACATTTTAAAAAAATTTTAAATATTTTATAGGTTGCAAAGACAAAACAACTCCATCCAGTGTGACTACTGAAGTTTTACCACTTGAAAACTTAACACCCTTACATGTTTTGGTCCCTATAGACCATTATCAGAGTAAAAACACAGTAAAAACAACACAGCATGCCACGAACAAACACAGGATGATACCAAGAATCTCCTTCTCAAGATAGACAGGCAGCACAAGTTCAGCCCCCATCAAGAAAGATGATAGGAGAAGGGACACAAACCTACTTGGTTTATAAAATTTTTACTTAAATAACAAAGTTTTAAAAGACTTTTAAAACTTCAATATACCAAGAAAGCTGCTGTAGTTGTGGAAAAGCTGGATTTTGTATATATTGGGCATTACAAACATTGTATGTACATGTATTTTAACACTCAAAACACCCATTGTAATAGTAGTTTCCAAAAAGTATCGATGTCCTTGTGATGATGGTCCACAGGGACCGATACATGTAAGGGTGCTAAGTTTTCAAGTGGTAAAAACTTCAATAGTCACACTAGACGGAGTTGTTTTGTCTTTGTAATTTGTTAGTGTGACGGACCAGAATGAAACAAATCAAAGTTATATTATAAGTATTGTGACATGTCTAACCGTTGCTGGGCAACGGGAGGTGAAACAAGTTTCCACGAAGACAGACCCTTGATAAATGGTCAGCTGCCAAGTTACGCAACAGTAGAAACGAGGTTACGCAACAGTAAGGAAAACGGTGTTTGTCCATGCCGAGCCGAGCCGCGCTGGTTCCTATGCGGCGTTGCCCAGCAGCACCTTTGTAAACACGGCGTCATGCAACAGGGGAGCCCGTGCAGCGACTGTTGCTAGGCAATCGGTAAACACAATGTCACGCAACAGTGAAAGCTATTGAACCGTGCAACGGTTCTTCTCCGTTAAGTTCCTTGGAGTGGCCTCTCCGGACACCAGGATGTGAGCCGGTCCTTTCTTCCCCGCTGACGTCCTTGGCTGACGTCAGAATCATGTGTCTCCGCCCCCCTCATTAGTGTGATTGCGAGTCTTTGTGGTAAGTCGAGATAAGCGATCACTCTCTTCTTCCTATACATATTCGCCTGGTAACATCGCTACAACTAAATTTGGTTTTGGAACAACTGAGTTGATGATATTGAAATTTTGTTTCAGCACATAGCGCGACTCA